ATAAATAAGCATATAAATGAATTAAACAAACCTTTGGAGGTAAGTTAACAGGATAACTAATTTAGCCATTGCTGTTAAGTCACTTGCAAACATGTAAAAATAAGGTTAGCATATCTGAGATCATGACTTTAACTGTCATAGACCAGCTGGGGCAAAAAGTTACTAAGACCTCATTCTCACCTGTTATCCCAGATACACAGGTGGCATAGGTAGGGAACTGGGGGACACCTACATGGGCAGAAAAAGAAGTATGAGACCGTATCTGAAAAATCACTAAAGCAAAAAAAGCTTGTGGTGTGGCTTAACAGGCAGAGTGCCTGCCTAGCAAGTGCAAGACCCTCTGAGTTCAAACCCTTACTATATTAAAAAAAAAAGAAGAAATTATGATGAAATAAAAACACTTTCAGGGCTTGGAATGTGGCTTAGTGGTAGAGTATTTGCCTACCATGCACGAAGCCCTGGGTTCAATTCCTCAGTACCGCATACACAGAAAAAGCTCGAAGTGGCATTGTGGCTCAAATGGTAGAGTGCTAGCCTTGAGCAAAATAAGCTCTGGGGCAGTGCCCAGGCCCTGAGTTCAAGCCCTGGGACTAGCAAAAAATAAAACACAACAAAAACCAAAAAAACTTTCAGATAAAAGACAAAACAATTTGTTCCAAGAGATATGCGTGACAAAAAATGTTACCAGAGGTGTGTAGACAGAAGAGATAGTAGAATCTGTATAAAACAGGAGTCGTTGCCTAGGATATATGAGGGCCTAGGATTTAAAAAGAAAAGAAAAAACAAACACTTGGAGTGTATGACATTTGGAGGCAATGAAGATAATGAATGGAAGGAGGAAAACGGAGAACACTATTGTAAGGTTTTTACAGTATATGTGAAATGACAAATGTCACTTGACAAGTCACCTTATTAAACTGAAGATACATGCTGTAAACTGCAGAGTAATGATTAAAAATTTTTAAAATTATAACAAGCCAATAAATAAGATACTAAAAAAATTTTAAAAAGAGCTCAGGAAAAGAGGTGGAGGGAATAAATAGGACAAACAGCTTGAGTGGTAGACTTAAATCCAACTATACTGATTAAAACATTAACTGTAAATGGAGCAAACATGAAGTGAAAAGGCAAAGACAGAATGGGTTAGTAGACAATAGCTGGAGGTATGACTCAAGTGGTAAGACAGTTTGCCTAGCAAGTGTAAGACTAACTTAAATCTAGCAGTGCACGTGCACACACACAATATCAAGACCCAATGAAAAGTAAAGGATGAGAAAAAGAGATACCCTTTAAATGGAGTGGGGGCTGGGAAGGTGGCTCAGTGGTAGAGCGCTTGCCTTGTATGCATGAGGCACTGGATTCAATTCCTCAGCCCCACATAAGCAGAAAAAGCTGGGAGCGGTGCTGTGGCTCAAGTGGTAGAGCACTAGCCTTGAACTGAAAAGCTGAGGGACAGCACCCAGGCCCAGAGTTCAAGCCCCATGACAGACTAAATAAATGAATAAATAAAAATGAAGTGGCTACATTAAACAAAGTAAACTTTACAACATAGTAATTCAAGAATAGGGACACATCATAATGATAAAAGGACAAATTCTTAGGAAGCTAGAACAATTAAAAGTATGTATGTATATACATATACACAAATACTTAGTAACAGATTGGCAAAATATAAAAATAAATCCTTACAGAACTGAACAAAGATACAAACAAATCTCTATTTACAGTTGGAAATTACAATACTTACCCTTCATTAACTGATAAAAGTAGCAGACTGATAATTCTTATGGAAGAATTGAACAATACAGAAGACTATCCAATAAGCAAAGTAGGAAATGAAGATCTTATTTTGGAGTAAAATTCAGGATAGTCATTCTAACTCAACAAGACAGTTCAACTATTTGTGACATATTGGACATCTGGTTTTGTTTCACTTTAAAATTCCATATATCTAGTCTCATGAGCTGCATTTATTACACAATATTTTCCAAAGTCTGATAATGGAATAATTTTGCCTTGTCCAGGATAGAAGTAGTTCTTGGCTAGGCAAGACTATGTCTAGGAGAGAACAAATCAGTTATACTGAAAGGTAACATTTCTAATAAGAACAGATAGAAGTATTTACCTATGGAAAAAGATTATATATATATTTGGGGGAGGGAGGGTCAGTCATGAGGCCTGAACTCTAGGCCTATGCGCTATCCCTCAGCTCTTCAGCTCAAGGCTAGCGCTCTACTACTTGAGCCACAGTGCCACTTCCACCTTTTTTCTGCTTATGTGGTACTCAGGAATCAAACCCAGGGCCTCATGCATGTAAGGCAAGCACTGTACCACTGAGCCAACTTCCCAGCCCTACAATCTTTCTTGAGTAGTATAAAGTAGGAAGTTTTAGTGACTGAAAAAGTACTAAATTCTATGGAATCCATTTCTACTCTAGCTTCAGTAGTAGCAATATATTATTAATTCAGTCTACAATAAATTTTTATTGTTTTTTAAAGCCTTCAGTTTGTTCTTGCTGCTTTAACATCTATGTAGCAAAACGATGCCAACCTTGACCTGGAAATACTCCTGCCTCAGCTTCCAATGCTAGTAGGAGTGTAGATATGTGCCACCATGCCTAACAAATTCAGAATTTAAACTGTCCTACAAAATGCATCATTCCTGAAATTATGCCAAAAATACCCCAGGGACAACAACAACAACAAATAGTTGTCACACATCTAAGTACACACACACACACACACACACACACCTACCTCCAGTCCTAGCTCAAGGCTAGCACTCTGCCACCTGAGCTCACCAGTGGCACTTTTAGCTTTTTCTCTGATTAACTGGCGATAAGAGTCTCATAGACTTTCCTGCCAGGCTAGCTTCGAACTGCAATTCTCAGATCTCAGCCTCCTAAGTAGCTTCCAGATTACATGCATGAGCCACTAGCTCTTGACAACATTAATATATTATTTTAATTTCAGGGTTTTTTTTGTTTTTGTTTTTTGTCGGTTGTGGGGCCTGAACTCTGGGCCTAGGCACTGTCCCTCAGCTTGTCAGCTCAAGGCTAGCGCTCTATCACTTGAGCCACAGAACCACTTTCAGCTTTTTCTGCTTATGTGGTGCTTAGTAATTGAACCCAGGCCCTCATGCTAATTTGTAGTATTTTAGAGCGAAGGAACAAAGCAGCATAAATTGTGTGAAATACTACTTTTAAAGAAAAACTTACAGGCTGGGAATGTGACTTAGTGGTAGAGTGCTTGCCTAGCATGCATGAAGCCCTGGGTTCGATTCCTCAGTATCACATAAACAAAAAGTAGCGCTGTGGCTGCAGTGGTAGAGTGCTAGCCTTGAGCAGAAGAACCTCAGGGATAGTGCCCAGACCCTGAGTTCAAGCCCAAGGACTGCAAAAGAAAAGAAAAATTTACTATTATTAGGTTCATACTTTATCATTACTTTAGAATAATTGAAAAAGGTATGTTAGGTAGTTGCATCAGCAACTGTTTCTTGGGGGGGAGCTTTGTTTTTGTTTTTGTCGGTCGTGGGGCTTGAACTCCTGACCTGGGTGCTGTCCCTCAGCTCTTCAGCTCCACGCTAGCGCTCTACCACTTGAGCCACAGCGCCACTTCCTGCTTTTTCTGCTTATGTGGGGCTGAGAAATCAAACCCAGGTCCTCATGCATGCAAGGCAGGCACTCTACCAACTGAGCCACTTCCCCAGCCCCTCAGCAACTGTTTTGTTTTGTTTTGTTTTTTGTTTTTTTCTTTTTGGTCCGGTCCTGGGGCCTGAACTCTGGGCCTGGGCGCTGTCCCTCAGCTCTTCAGCTCAAGGCTAGCGCTCTACCACTTGAGCCACAGCGCCACTTCCGGCTTTTTTCTTTTTGCTTATGTGGTGCTGAGGAATCGAACCCAGGGCCTCGAGCATGCAAGGCAAGCGCTCTACCACTGAGCCACCTTCCCAGCCCCAGCAACTGTTTTTAAGTACAGAAAAAAGGTAATATTTTCAAATTATACCTAACCAGGTTCTTGGAAACTTTATATCACAGGGAATAACATTTTGATGAACAGATATGGATTTATAAAATAGAAATCAAAGCCAGGAACCAGTTGCTCACACCTGTAATCCTAGGAACTCAGGAAGCTGAGATCTGAAGATCCTGGTTCAAAGTCAGCCCTGGCAGAGAAGTTCTTACCATTCTGTTTCCAGTTAACCACCAAAAAGCTAGAAATGGAACTCAAAGGCTCAAAAGGTAGAGCACTAACCTTAGCAAAAGAAGTTCAGGGACAGTGCCTGTGCCCTGAGTTCAAGCTCCAGGATTGATATACAGGTACGGGTGCATGCAAAGGGCTAAGATGAGAGCCTAGCGGTATGTTATGTATGTAGGAGATTATCAAATAACTGGTTACTTTCATTCTTTTACATTGCTTTTATATTATCGATGCATTTGGAATTTGGTTTTTGCCTAAAGAAATACAAACTTGTTGAGCCGGGCGCTGGTGGCTCACGCCTATAATCCTAGCTACTCAGGAGGCTGAGATCTGAGGATCACGGTTCAAAGCCAGCCCGGGCAGGAGAGACCATGAGACTCCTATCTCCAATAAACCACCAGAAAACCGGAAGTGGTGCTGTAGCTCAAGTGGTAGAGTGCTCGCCTTGAGCTGAAGAGCTGAGGGACAGCGCCCAGGCCCAGAGTTCAAGCCCCACGACCAAAAAAAAAGAAGAAATACAAACTTGGATTTTTTCCTAAGATAGTTAAAACAGTTTTACCTCTTCCTATTTGATTAAAAAATGCATCTTTATCCTAACTCACCTAGTGTTTCATCATTAAATGGAAGAATAATCTATATCCATCACAAGTTGTTCATACCAGCTGCATTTTGAAATGCGTACTTAAACAGAATAATTTTCTTTAAAAGCCAAACTTCTTTACAATATATATTTATGTTAACATACATAGGTATTCTTCCTTCATTAATATTTCTCAACTGAAGTTTTTTCTATTTTTTTTGTAGGGTCCACATATAGCTTCAGTTACATTAGCTGCTTATGAATGCAACTCAGTCAATTTTCCTGAGCCACCCTATCCTGATCAGATTATCTGTCCAGATGAAGAGGGCACTGAAGGAGCCATTTCTTTGTGGAGTATCATCTCAAAAGTTAGAATTGAGGCCTGTATGTGGGTAAGTTGTGCATTTTCATATTTGTCTGATACCTTACCACCTTGATATACTGTATTAAGCCTTTTGAAATCAAATTCAAACATATACTTCATGAAATGACCAGATGTCAATTTCTAAGGCAGAGAGAACTTTTTAGAGCCTTGGCAAAACTTACTTTTGCAAGTAAGCCACAAAGTGTATACCACAAAGCAACCGATCACACAAAGACAACAGCAGCAAAGGAAAATGGAATGTAAATGATGTAACTATACTGTTATAAAATTTGTTCCAGTGTTTATATACTTAGTCAATACCAGCTGACCAATTATAGAGTAGGTGTAGTTGCACATAGCTGTAGTCCTATCATTTAGAAGACTGAGGTAGTAGGATTAAGAGGCCAACCTGTCTATGAGACCCTGTGTCATGTGTCATGTTAATATAGCTTATTCTTAGATTAAAGTATTGTTCTTAGAATACTCTTCATTTATGGAGTCGCTTCAATGTTAAAGTATGGTCTAATATTTCATCCATAAACTCAGCTTTTTTTGTAGTAATGGTTTCAAACTATACAGTTATAAATGAGATCTTCCTTCTAGATACATTAATTATTCTCTGTGATTTTCTTAGGTTTATTTTAAGAATTTTTTGGATTATACTGTCAATAGAAAGTATCTTTTAGATGTCGGTATAATTTGTGGAGGAGATGGGGAAAAACAAGTCGTTTAAGGATACAGGTGGACCCGTTGCAACAATGAGAAGTACAAGTTGTCATGTCGAAAACGAACTTTACAACTTTGGTGGGGGGAGGCTGGGAAGGGATGTGAAGGGTAAACAAAGGAGGAGGCTGCAATGCTTGATAAGAAATGTACTCATTATCTTGCCCATGTAATTGTAACCCCTCTGTACAGTATGTTCACAAAAAATAAAAAAAAAAAAACAATGTCACCATGAAAAAAAAAAAGAAAGTTATCTTTTAATTCACTCAAGTTGATTTGGTTTTGTTTGTTGTTTTGTTTTGTTTTTTTGTCGGTCATGGGGCTTGAACTAGATTTGGTTTTGTTTATATGCCTAAATTTGTGTGTCTATCAGTTAGGAATATATTGATTTTATTTGTTAAAGACTTCAAATTATTACCATTTAAATTGTTTAATTCATCATTTGGATTTTTTAAGTTTATATACCTGTCATTTTTAACAGATTGTTTCAAAATTTTAACTAATCCCTGAATTCAATCTCCAGCATGCCACCCCCACCCCCCCAAAAAAATCCTCTCGGTTCATTCAAATAGCCATAAACAGTATGCCCTTAAAGGGGGCAGAGGCAGTTTTAGCTTTGAAGGGAGGGGATCAAATAAAAAATTTGGTACTTACTAATAAGTAAGACCCCTGCCATGGAGCTGGGTTCCCTAGTCCAGTGATCTATTTTTTTTTTTGTATTTTTTTTCTTGTAAAGATACTGTACAGAGAAGTAGTGATCTATTTCTTATTTATAAGCCCAACACCAGCAATAGATAAAAGATAGTTTCTTGATTTAATAAGAACACTGAATTGAAACTGGGCGCGATGGCTCATGTCTGTAATCCTAGCTACTCAGGGGGCTGAGATCTGAGGATGTAGGATCAAAGCCAAGCCCAGGCAGGAAAGTCCATGAGACTTAATTCCAATTAACCACCTAAAAACCAAAAGTAGAGCTGTGGCTCAAAGTGGTAGAGTACTAGCCTTGAGCAATATAGCTCAGGGATAGCTTCCAGGCTCTGAGTTCAAGCCCCATGACTGACAAAAATAATAATAATGATAATTATTATTATTATTATTATAGCCGGGCAACTGTGGCTCATACCTATAATCCTAGCTACTGAGGAAGCTTAGATATGAGGATTATGGCTCAAAGCCAGCCTGGACAAGAGAGTTCATGAACCTCTTATCTCCAAAAAACTTCCAAAGTCAGAAGTAGAGCTGTGGGTCAAGTGGTAGAGCACTAGCATTTGAAAAAGCTCAGGAACAGCACCTAGGACCAGCAAAAAAAATAAAAGTATTAAGGAAATGCCATAATCCGTTGAATTTGTTGAATATGAAAGAGGAAAATAAGTCGTTTCCTGTTGCCCTTTTCTAAACAATGCAAGCAAATTCATTATATTAATTACATGTTTTATAAATTTAATGTCATTAATCTTCTGTGGGTTTTTTTGTACTGGTTCTGAAGATAAAACTCATGGTCTTAGAACTGTCCTTAAGCTTTTGTGCTCAAAGGTAGCGCTCTACCACTTGAGCCACAGTGCCAGTTACGGTTTTCTGGTGGTTAATTGGAGATAAGAGTCTTACAACCTTTCCTGCCCAGGCTGGCTGCGATCCTCAGATCTCAGCCTCCTGATTAGCTATGATTACAACCATGAAGCATTGGCATTCAGTATATATTTTCTTTATATATTTGTATAATAATATATACTGACATGATCACCATTCTTGTTTCTTGTTAATGAGAAACATGAACACAATTAAATTAGTGTAACAAATTGCCAGCTTAGTACAGAGTTCTTGATTACAGTTCAGTTCATTGTGTGACTTCCTTATTAACTTTTTTTGTTTTGTTTTGTCAGTTGTAGGGCTTGAACTCAGGGCCTGAGCTCTGTCCCTGAGCTTCTTTTGCTCAAGGCTAGCTAGCACTCTACCACTTGAACCACAGAGCCACTTCAGGCTTTTTTGAGTAGTTTAATGGAGAATAGAGTCTCATGGACTTTCCTGCCTAGGCTGGCTTCGAACCATGATCCTCAGAGTAGCTAGGACTGCAGGGGTGAGCCACTTGCACCTGGCTGGCTAACTTAATACTTTTTGAAATAATGTTTTTAGTGGTACTCAAGCTTGAACTCAGGACTTCAGCTACTTTAGCCATACCTGTTCCAGTTTTTTAAATAATGATTAATTTTCTGTAGTCCTTCATAGTTGACCATCATTAACTTTTCTTGTTTAGCAATTTATGATTTGTGTTTTATCCTTATCCTTCTGTATATGTATGTTACCCTTCCCTCTTCCTCTCTCATTTTCTCTCTCTCTCTGTATTTGGAGACAGCGCATTAGCACATAGCAAACTGAAAAGATTAAAGTTGCTTTTGAGGCTGGCTACCGGTGGCTCACACCTGTAATCCTAGCCACTCAGGAGGCTGAGATCTGAGGATCACGGTTCAAAGCCAGCCTGGACAGGAAAGTCCATAAACTTATCTCCAATTAACCACCAGAAAATCGGAAGTGGTGCTATGGCTCAAAAAATAAAAACAAATAAAAATAATAAAGTTGCTTTGACAATTAGCAAAAGTTTTTCATTCACTGTGACTTAGAGAACCAGGTCTGTCTGGTTCAACGTTCAGAATTTCCCTGGAGACCACTGTGTGCCTGTGACATTATAGCCTATTACATATTTAAGCTACTTAAGTCTAAACCAAGTTTCTGATTCATCAAAGTTTGTTTTCATTCTTATATCTTAAGATATAAAAAATTTAAAAAGATACATTTTACGTTTAATTTCTTCATAACATAGAGTGACTCATGTTCCTGTCATTTTGAAGACTTTCGTTTTTGAAGATTTTTTTTTTCTAATATATTTGCCAGTCCTGGGGCTTGAACTCAGGGCTTGGGCACTGTCCCTGAGCTTCTTTTGCTCCAGGCTAGCACTCTACCACTTGAGCCCAGCATCCCTTCCAGCTCTTTCTGTTTATATGGTACAGAGAAATCGATCCCAGGACTTCATGCATGCAAGGCAAGCACTCTTAACACTAAGCCACATTCCTAGTCCGAATTTGCCCATGTTATTTTATTGTGAAAATACTGTACAGAGGGGTTACAGTTACATGAGCAAGATAATGAGTACATTTCTTATCAAGCATTGTTGCCTTCTCCTTTGTTTTTCCTCTACCATCCCTTCCCTCCCATCTTCACAACTACAACCTCCCTCCCCCCACCCCCACCCTGGCCCCAAATTTGTCCATTTTTATGTTGAGTTTTCAAGGGGCTTCCTGATCCCATGTTTTCAGTTTTAACACAGAAAAAAAAAGTATTATGTTGAGAGTAAAGAAAACATTTTAAATGTCAAATTTCCTGGAGAATATTAATTAACCTATGTACTAGTGTTTTTTTTGTTTTTTTTTTTACTACCAGATCATTTAGCTAATAGAAAAAAAGAAGAGGGGCTACGGGTTTAGCTCAGCAGAAGAGCGCCTGCCTAGCTAGCTCAAGACCCTGAGTTCAGTCCTCATCTCTAGGGACAAAAAAAGCTATAAAAGAAAAGAAGGAGAAAAACAGAAAAATATCAGAACCTGTTAGTGAATATAATAATATCAGATACCTATTAGTGTCTGTATGTGCCAGGATTGTCTTACGAGTTTTATGTCTGCCTTCTTGATTTATATCATATAGGTCAGAATAGAGCCAGGACTCAAACTTTTACCCTTCTGGTCATGTAATGTATGCTTCCCCCTTTTCCATAATGTTTTTGCTGACATAGAAAAGGATAAATTTAATCTGTTCAGTGTCATTATGTTGGAAACGGAAGTCATTGCAAATATTTTGGTTTTAACACCCTAGGGTATCGGTACAGCGATTGGAGAGCTACCTCCATATTTCATGGCCAGGGCAGCTCGCCTCTCAGGTGCTGAACCAGACGATGAGGAATATCAGGAATTTGAAGAGATGCTGGAAAATGGAGAGACTCCACAAGTAAGAATGGGTGTGGGGGATAGAACACTAATCTTCAAAAAGGTTATTATTAACACAAAATGGTTAATAGTTGCACTAAAGAACACTGCCTTGCCGGGCGCCAGTGGCAAGTTTTCCAGACAAATTAGTAATAAGAAGATGTTGTGGGGCTTGAACTCTGGGCCTGGGTACTCTCTCTCAGCTCTTCAGCTCAAGGGGAACTCTACCACTTGAGCCACAGTGCCACTTCTGGCTTTGAACGGTGATCCTCAGATCTCAGCCTCTTGAGTAGCTAGGATTATAGGCGTGAGCCACCAGTGCCTGGCTACGTCCAGCTTTTTGATGGTTAATTGAATATAATAATTTTGAATGTATTTGCCCAGACTGGCTATGAATCGCAATCTCAGATCTCAGCCTGCTGTCTAGCTAGAATTATAATTGTGAGCCACTAGCACCTGGCAGAAAACAATATGTATATTCTTTATGAAATTTTTATTAAAATTTTTTACCAAAATTTCATTTACATGTACTTGTCAGCCAATATGTAAAATATAAAATAATTAAATAAATACGATTAAAGAGAAAAGAGTAATTCATCTATGCAACTTTGTGATCTTCACTATTTTTCTTTTAAGATCAATAAAAACCATACTTGAGTGAATTACTCAACTGTAACTGTACAGTAAAAGGTATTCTTTTTTTTTTCTTTTTCTTTTTTTATTGTGAGAATACCATACAGAGGAGTTATAATTACCTGGGCAAGATAATGAGTACATTTCTTATCAAGCATTGTTGCCTCCTCTTTGTTTCCCTTTCCCATCCCTTCCCATACTCCCCCCCTCGGCCCACCCGATCCCCCCCACCAAAGTTGTAAAGTTCCTTTTTCGACATAAGGACTTGCACATCTCATTGTTGCAATGGGTCCACGTGTATCCCTAGTAAGTAAAAGGTATTTATTATTCTTGGTGGGGTTTTTTTGTTTTTTTTTTCAGTAGAGCAGAGGTCTAGAAGTGTTGTCCAGGCTCAGCCAAACAAACAAACTTCAGTGATCCTCCTTACTCCTCAATAGTAGTTGAGACTATAAGCATCACTGAGCCAGATTTATCCCTGATTTGAATTTAAAAACACACCCTGGAATATATAAGGCCAGTGAATCTTAGAGACAAAACCCAACCCAAGTTTTTGACTGTGAGATTAGTGCAGTGTTTACCATAATTTAGTCTTTTTTTTTTTTTTGCCAGTCCTGGGTTTGAAGGCCTGCCTGGGCACTGTCCTGGCTTCTTTTGCTCATGGCTAGCACCCTTATCACTTGAGCCACAGCACCACTTTCAGCTTTTTCTATTTATGTGGTGCTGAGGAATTGAACCCAGGGCTTCATGAATGGTAGGCAAGCACTCTACTACTAAGCCACATTTCCAGTCCTACCATTTAGCATTTTTTAATCAAGATTTATAGTACAGAAAATGAAATTTTAAATTTTTTCTCCTATATGTGATTTGATTTTTCTTTTTATACTTTTTAGTAATTTCCATTAATTTTATGGTTTACTATAAATTTCAGATAATATGATTTTTTTTTTCCTGATTTTAGACAAGGGGGGTTATATGGAATTCAAATTTTTTTCATTTATATTTTTGTTGTTGAAGGCATAAGATAGAAGACTTGATTATCTGAGAAAGTATTAGTGTTTTAATACATTAGTTAGAGTTTCTTGTTGTTGCTCAGCAAAGATAAATTTTTGGTTTTGTTTGTTAAAACTGTGAACTATTACTATATTCAACTTATATATATATATATTTTTTTTTTTTTTTTTTTTTTTTGGTCAGTTGTGGGGTTTGAAATCTGGGCCTGGGTGCTGTCCCTCAGCTCTCAAGGTGAGCACTCTACCACTTGAGCCACAGTGCCACTTCCAATTTTCTGGTAGTTAATTGGAGATAAGAGTCTGACGGACTTTTTGGCCCAGGCTGGTTTTGAACCGCAATCCTCAGATCTCAGGCTCCTAAGTAACTAGGATTACCAGATCTCAGGCTCCTAAGTAACTAGGATTACAAGTGTGAGCCACCAGGTAGACTTGGAGGGTTTTTTGTTTGTTTGTTTGTTTGTTTTTTGTCTTTCATGAGGCCTGAACTTTGGATTTGGGCACTGTCCTTCAGCTCTTCAGCTCTAGGCTAGTGCTCTATCACTTGAGCTACAGCACCACTTCCAGCTTTTTCTGTTTATGTGGTATTGAGAAATTGAACCTAGAGCCTCATGCATGCAAGGCAAACACTTTGCCACTAAGCCACTGAAATTTTGGAGTTTTTTGAGACCTAGTTTTGCTGTGTAGCCCAAAGTAGACTCAATTCCTTTTCTTCCTTTTAGAGCTGGGATCACTGGCTTATGTTTATAAAGTAAAACGTGTAGGTAACATGTACTCAACCAGTAGGCTAATAACCACTATGTCTCAACTCTTTTTTATTTTTTAGGTTCTAGCAAAGATTTGTTTTGCCATAATATGTTAAAATGGGGGGGGGGATGGAGAAAAGAAAGACATTTCCTTCTACCCATGCAGAATTTATCAGTCGTGGGACTTGAATTCAGGGTCTAGGCACTGAGCTCTGCTTGAGGTTAGTGCTCTACCATTTTGAGTCACAGTGCCACTTCCAGATTCTAGTGGTTAATGGTAAATAAGAGGCTCAGACTTTCCTGTGGGGCTGAATTTGAACTGCAATCCTCAGATCTCAGCCTCCTAAGTAGCTAGGATTACTGGCGTGAGCCACTGTAGCCTTGCTTCCACAACCATTCTTTTGCTGGTTAGTTGGAGATAAGAATCTCATGGATTTGCTGGGCGCTGCTGGCTCACACCTGTAATTCTAGCCACTCAGGAGGCTGAGAGCTGAGGATCACGGTTCAACGCCAGCCCAAGCAGGAAACTCTGTGAGACCCTAATCTCCAAGTAACCACCAGAAAACCGGAAGTGGCGCAGTAGCTCAAGTGGTAGAGCACTAGCCTTGAGCTGAAGAGCTGAGGTAAAGCACCCAGGCCCACAGTTCAAGCCCTACAACTGACCAAAAAAATAAAAAAGAATCTCATGGATTTGTCTCTCTGGGCTGTCTTTTAACCCTGATCCTCAGATCTCAATCTCCTGAGGAGCTAGGACATTGAGGCACTAACATCCAACAAATTTTCTTTTTAATTACTTGTGAATTTTTCTTACAGTATTTTGCAAATGATTTTAACATGTTATCTTTGCCTTGTATCTTGTTGTTGTAACTTGAATCTTTTTTCTTATTTTTGTAGTTGTTAATAGTATATACAAAAGGTATGAAGTTTTTGTTTGGTAATCTAAAAACTTAAAAATGACATCTTTTTAGTTATGTCTTACTGGTTATGATTTTTAAATTCTTTAGCAGTCAATTTAGGTGATCCAAAGTTTATATGACTTTGGTGCTAAATTGGCTCATAGATACATAGGTTTTGTAAAATCTTCAGTTTGGTAAGAGTGATTAAAATATGGAAGAGTTAGGTCAACCATAGTTAAGAAGAACAAATTACGTAAAATCAATAATGTGAGTTATTTACAGATTAGCTGAGCCAAAAGAGCATAAGTTTGAGGCCAAACTAGACTACATAGTGAGAACTGGTCTCAAAAAATTAAGCCAAACAAAACAAAGATTACTTTAGAGTACGTTAGAAAATGTGGGGTGGTTTTTGTTTTTTTTTTTTGATGTTAAAATATTTTAGTAGCATAAGTTTATCACAGGAAAAAAGAAAAACTTGGCACTGATTGCTTTGTCATGTGTCTTCCAAGTAGGTTAAAGGATGCATATGAATTTTGCTTAGAAATTGTTACTAGGTAACAATTTCAAAAGTAATTATTTTCTTAAATTTGTTTGACTAATGGTAAGATTTCATATAGATGTTTTGACAGTAAAAGTATTATTAAAGCATTTATTTATATTGTGATTCCTTCAGATTACTTGAATTTTTTTTGTGATGATAGTATTGAGATTAGGCAGTATTTTTTGTTAAACTGACTTTCGTTTGCTCTTGGCTTTTTATCATGTTTTAACTTGATGTCTGTGGGAGGTTGACATGAATAAAGGTAGCTTTCTATGTCCTTGAGTAATCCTTTCATCATTTATAACAGATCTAAATAGCTGCTCCTTCATTTTATGAATTGCCTCCTACAAAGTTAAATTACTTGGGGGGGTTGGGGGGGGAGTCAGTCATAAGCCTTGATCTCAGGGCTATCCCTGAGCTTTTTCATTCAAGGCTAGTGCTCTACCACTTTGAGACACACTGTCACTTCAGGTTTTCTGGTGGTTAATTAATGAGTGTCATAGTCTGTTCTTCCCTGGCTTTCTATGAACCGCAGTCCTCAGATTTCAGCCTCCTGAGTAGCTGGGATTACTGGCGTAAGTCACCAGCGCCTGGCAACTTTTCTTTATTCTTGATTTCTGTTAACAGTATTACTATCCTCAATAGTTAATATGAGTTATCTTTGATTAATTTCCTATTACCAAGAAAATTAAAAACTAGCTAGATGTGATGGTACATGTCTATAATCCCAGACTAGGATTACAGTAAATTAGTTTTTATATTTAAGATCCAAGCCAACCTGGGCTACATAGCAAGTATTTAAATAAATATTTGAATAAAATCTTAGTCATACGATTGCCTTCCTTGCCTCGCATATTCAATCAATTTTCAAGGCCTATTTGAAATTATTTAAGTAGGGTTTTTTCTCTTTACTAGTTTATATTACACTTCCTGAAGGCTGAAAAAAAAAAGTTTAGCTTAATAAGATTCTTACCCGGGGCTGGGAAGGTGGCTCAGTGGTAGAGCACTTGCCTTGCATGCATGAGGCCCTGGGTTCGATTCCTCAGCACCACATAAGCAAAAAGAAAAAAGCCGGAAGTGGCGCTGTGGCTCAAGTGGTAGAGCGCTAGCCTTGAGCTGAAGAGCTGAGGGACAGCACCCAGGCCCAGAGTTCAAGCCCCACGACCGGACCCAAAAAATAAAAAATAAGATTCTTACCC